TAGTACAGCCCCTTTTAAAATGCTCGTGAGGAATTTTTGGGGTCCCGGATTTACTATTTATTATTAAGGTGGTTTTCATTAATATGGGGAAGCGATTATTTGGCTATATTGGGCTGGTCCAAGGGGTTTTTGAGCAATGGCCGAAAGATGCCGATGACACAGGCTGGCCAAGGTGGTTGTTGGCTAGAGGCGTGGCATCTAAGATGTTCTCAGCCGCAGCATAGTCGCGGAGTTCCTGTCGCGGTTCTTGCAGTGAGGTTTGCCCAGAGATTGGGTTTTGTGATGCCCGAGCTCCATTCTCGTGATATGTCAGAGGTCTGGAAATTTGGGCACCGGGGCGCTGAAGACACTTTTGGACGGGCTAGATGGCTACCAGATCCAAGCGGGCCAAAGCGCTGGGGGCAGCTGCCAAGCTGCAAAATATTGAATGCCTGTCCACAGAAACAGAGATGCAGGGGAACTCGTTGCAAGGCAAACCAGACAAGACAGAAGGCACTCGTCAAGCCCAGGCATGAATCTTTGCAATCGGAAGTGCAGAGCGAGGAAGGAGCGCCAATCACGCAAGATTACAGCAACATTTCCGTAGCTGCGCCTAGAATAGGCAAGCAAGTAACTTCGGGTATGTGCAAACTTGAAGTCAACCCGGCAGTGTTATTGATGTTTAGTCTGCAGGAAGGCGTGGGAAACTTGTGGAATCCTGGGGATGATGCAACTTCCATTGTGACATTGCATTCGCATCACCAAGCCTAGACCAACAGCTTCTTGCAAGGGCTAAGCTGGCCCTGTTTGCAAACGCAACCGGCATGAGACATGATGGGGGACGCAGTTTGGCAGCGGATGTGTAAAAAGCGTAGTCAAGATGATTCAAGCAGGTTCGGGCAAACGTGTTCACACAGAACTACCTGCGATGAGAAAGAAACTATTGGGGTTCTGAGTTGGGGGCGGGGTGCAGAAAATAGGTCTGAGGGTATAGGCGTAGACCACGGGGCTAAGGCCTACACTTCTACTGAGCTCTACCTGTGTGCAAGGGGGGGTAGCTCGCTCTTGCTGTAGCAAACACAAGGAAGTGGCGCCTTCGGCCCCTCGATCTTCTAGAAACCTTCACAGGCAACAGCGGGAGCAAGGCTTCTGTATTCGCTGGTACTCTATATTTCGAGAAAGCCTTCGCAGGAGCTCTATTGCGACCACATGAATGGGGGATGGCTCACTCTTCCTGTAGCAAGGACAATGAAGTGGCGCCCCCGCCCCCTCCCCCCAGCTATTTCTCCACCTCTAGCAACCAATCATGAGCAGTGCCAGGACCCTCGCAAAGCCTTGAGGAATGGTCTGGCAAGGCTTTGATACTTGTTCGTGAAAGGTTTCTAGGAGGGCCCAAGTGCCGAGAAGTAGGTCTTGGGGCCATGGGCGAGCGTGCTAATTCCTTGTCCTTGCTACAGGAAGAGTGGGTCACCCCCCCTTTCATGCGGCGCAATAAAGCTCCTGCAGGTGCCCTCAAAATAGAGAAATCAATACAGAAGTAGATGGATAAATATTTCTATATATATATATATACAGAGAGTCCTAGGGAATACAGAAGCCTTCCTCGGGAGAGGCTTCGGTATTGCCTGTCCCAAGCCTTCACGGATCGAGATTGTAGCTCTCTTGCATATGCTCTCATCTCCGAGTCTTCCAATTTCATAGTGTCCAAGTATCTCTTTTTTCCCCCGGACCGCCTTTCTAAGCAAAAGCACATCGATTCCAATGGTCAGTAGGCCAAAAAAACATGCAGCAAACTAGACGAAAATGAGCATCTCGTTCTCGCCTCAAAGGTCGAATTAGCTGGAAAGATGTTGAGAAACAACCAAACAGCCAACAGAACACAACAACAAGCCAACACAGACAAACAGAACAACCCCCCTCCGGCATCAAACTAACGCAGCAGACCCTCATCTACAATGAGCAAACGGTGGTCAAATATCCCGCACCGTCAATCCGGGGCTAATCGGTAGCCAGGGTTTGACCGTGGCATCAAACGCTTGCAATCCGGTGCACAAACATTCATGTTGAGTTGAACAGACTCAGCCCATGGCAACCAGGCCGTGGCCTGACGGTGCCAACACAATTCACACACAATTCTAGAACATCGCATGTGCCGGTAGGCCCAAGTGCCGTGAAATAGGTCTGGGAGGGCGAACGTGCCAGTTCCTTGTGCTTTCCACAGGAAGAGTGGGTACCCCGCTTTCATTGGGGCACAAAAGTTTCGTAGGTATGGCCTTAAACTTGTAAACCCTAGACGAGACTTCAAATCCGAAACTTTAGGCGTGTTTCTTGTCCTGCCGCGCAGCTGCTGCATCGCCTAGCAAATTTCAAGCGGGGATGGTTCATGGCATGGATGACGCTGTGAAGCGTGTTAGTTGCGTTTTCAAGCCAGCTCAGTATATCAGCTAAATACGTTCCTGAGAGTCCCCAACACCCCCCTAAAGCCTTCTTTGCAGGAAATAGTGCCGGACCATTTAATTTTCAGACACCCCCCCACCTCCCCCCGCTCCCCCAAGACGGGGTCTCACATTTGAAAACCGGGCGGTTCAGAGGTCAGGACATTGCAAATCTTGCGCGCAGTCGCCAAGTGTGAGGCCCTGACAAACTAATTGGCTGGAAGCGTCAGACATTATTGTGGCTTTCTCCTTGCTTGACGTTCTGTTCTGCTTTGCTTGCAAAGGTGCCTGTTGCCATGCTTGCCTTGGCTCTCCCTCACGGGTTTCCTCACGAATCACTAATTTTACAAAAGCTTTACCTTCCCGAGCCAGGCCCGGGCATGCGTGCCCGTTCGCAAAGTAAGCAGGCACAAAATGGCCCGAGCCCAAGAAGATGTGTGAATTCATGTCTCTGATGTCTCTGGCGTGTAAACTTTTCCTCTGCAGGTCAGTCACAATGATTCTCGCAAGGGGCATGCTTCCTGCTAAGACGCGCTTGCCCGCTGAAGTCCATTCTCAGATTCCTGAGATAAGTTTGCAGTCAGGCCTCCAACGGATCTGTGCTGAACTTGGGATGCGTGCGTTCTTGCTTGGCTCGTGCCAAATCTCAACTTGTTTCAGGTTTCTGTGCCAAGCAGTCGTTCGCCCTCCCGTTTCGGTGCTCATCCAGTCGCTGAGGGAGCTGAGGCACACTGGCCACAGACGCATTTCTCTGCCATTCTCTGCCCTCTGCAGCTGCCAGGCACCTAAGTCAGCCGCGAGGAACCAGATGATCCCACTGGTCGATGAGCGCGAGGAATGCATAGATCCTGCTACTGCAGCAGCTTACGCATGCAGAACTAGCTGTTGCGGACTGCAGGAGGATGAGGAAGAAGTGATCCTAAGAGAAATGAAAGAAAGAGAGGACGGATATGGGCGATGTGCGTTTGGACTCGCGCTTGTTCGCTAATATTGCATGCGTCCGCACATGCTACAGCGTGCTACAGCTATCGTGAGCCATGCGTGTGGTAGTTCGGTGCCAGGCCAGAAAGTATCGAGAGGAGCAGGTCCGCACAGAGCGAAAGGCCATGACTTGGTACGGTGCCTGGACCGTGCCGCTGGACCTGCCATCAAGTTAGGCCGCTGAAGAAGAGGCAGCCAAGCTCGTGCAAGTGAAGGAGCAGTCGAACGACAGCAACGCTTTGGCAAGCCTTGCCCGCTGCAGCGAGAGAATATGGCCGTGATACTTTCTTGTGCCTTCACTCTTTGACACTATGACTACCCAACGCAGGGTGGAATTTACACATCAAAGGGGCGTTTGCTCAAGCACTTTGAAAAACTTTAGCTGTTCACGTTCCATTACGTACGCAGTGCGTGTCTGCATGCCATCGCCAAGGCAGGGCGCTCTGCGCAGCTAGGTTTTACACGGCCCGCAGATGCAACAAAGTTTCAACTTGGGCCCACACACTGCGCTACCCGCAACAATTCTGAGATTGCTGGGTTGCGCTTGACGTCATGCCTCTGGTGCGGAAGTTGTCGTTCTTGTTGCCTGTTCTTGCTCCGCTGGCAATGTCTTGTCAGTTGTAGCGTGCACATTCTTGCAAAGACTTCAGTAGTGCCTCTCTGGGTGGCAAGCTTGGCGGTTCTCGTTGATTATCAGGATTGACTTGTGACGCACAAAGGCGCGCTTCATGTTGCCAGTCTTGCTTTCCCTTAGTGCTACAAGTACGTACTACTAGAGCCACTAGGGCACCATCATTTGGGTGTGTGCATCACTGTCAAGCTTGACGGAAATTACTTGGATCAGTCATGTCAGGCCCCGCCCCCCCATGTCTTGCTGGCGCGGCAACCTCCCACACGCTTTGTACACAAAGCGTCTGTCCTCGTGTGATCAGCAAGCACTGAATGCTGCCAAAACCACGCTGCGCAGTTGATTTTTGCATAGTATTCGAGGGATCGTTGAACTCGCTGCTAGGCCATGACGTCCCGCCTCCGCGCGGTGCCTTGAACCTCCTGGTCTGGTCAATTTTGTCCGGGCTCGTGCCCAGCGCTACTGTACAAGCTAAGCGCCCCGATTGGCACTAGGCGCCGCAAATACGTGGGGATGGCCCACATGTTGCGCATGCTCTTCTGGGGCCCAGTTGGGGAGCTTGATTTGTGGCGGATGCAGAGTTTCTTTCTTGATGCTTGGCCTTGGAAATGCCATATGTCTCCAAGGTTATTTCGTGACAATTTATCGCACAGGGCCGCCAGTAAAACTGCCATACTTTCCCCACACATTGTGTTTATGCTGTCGGGCCGTTCTTTGTGCAAGCCTGCTACGTACTCCCTTGGATAATTCCCGAAACTTGGACAGCTTTGATTGATGAGTCGCAGGGCGCATCAAGCTCGTGTTGCTTGGCTGGAAGAGATCAGCCATCCTGACATGAGGTGCATGCTCATGCATGGTGAGGAAGGGTGGTAAGGTTGACAGTTTACTTCCTAGGTAAGAGTTGGCGCAACATGTGCGGTGTCATATCTGTGATTCGCAGGGGTCAGTGCGCTGGCAGGACTGCCGGTACGACTGCATTTGCTGTGTCTCGTTCACGCGGGATTCCTACCAAAAAAGATTTTTAAAAAAGTATCAGCAAGATCAAAAAAAACATGATCCACACGAAATTCAATCATTATCAACAAATATTCCTTTAGCCAAATGTGGACAGTCACAAGGATCCGTGGGAGTCGGGGTCGCGATCCTCGTAACTGTCGTCGCTTTTGGACCTTCAGATCTTCTTGGAGAGAGACAAGAAGGAAAGTAGCCAGGAAAGCAAGAAAGAAAGTAATTAGCAAAGAAGAACAGGAAAGCACAACGCCGGAAAGAAGGAGCGAAAGAAAGTACCATGTGGTGTAGGGATGTTTACTTTGTGTTGTAGGTTGTGGGCTCTATAGCCAGGAGAATCTCTGTAGTTCCGATGTACAGCTCGCAATGCTGCCAGCAGAGCAGCATAGTGGGAGAGGAGCTGGACTGCCCTGACATCATGCGAGATGGGGAGAACTTATTCATTGTTCGTAGCAAGTTTTCAGCATGACGGGGAGCGAAAGCATGTTTCACAACCAGGTTGAGAAGGGAATATGGCGCAAAGGGAACCACCTGTCCAGAAAAGGCTTTAGGGAGTTGGCAAAGTAGGTGTATTTAGTGCTGTGTTTTGGGGAGGTGGTGTCACTTTGCTCAGAATTCCGGGCCTCCCTGGCAGACCGAACGATGGACAGTGTGTGCAGCCAGGGGGCGTAGCCCCCACGAGCGCTCTAGGGTGCTTCATTCCTAGCAATGTAAACCTGGGGGGCAACCCTTATCTGGAAACATGCGTGTCCATCATTTTGTTTGCAAGGGGGGGGTTGCTGCCCGCCAACCTCATCCAACCCGCCGCTTTTTGAGGCCATCCATGCTTAAGGCTTACAATAAAAGGAAGCATCCTGTCATCATGATGTTGGCATTAAGGGAAGGTTGCGCGGATCATATTGTTTGCAAATGGGCGGGGTGGTGTGCCCCGCCACACCCCGCTTTTTTAACGTCCATCCATGCTTGCAAGAAATAAGAAGAATCATGTAAGGAAAGTTGTATCAGGTTGCGCGGAGCATGTTGTTTGCAAATAGGGGGGGCTGTGCCCCCCCCCCCCCCACACCCCCGCTTTTTAAGGCCATCCAAGGATCCTGTCATCACCATGTTGGCAGTGCAAATGGGGGATGCTGCCTTCCCGGAAGCCCAAGTTTTTCGAGGCTATCCATGCTTGCAAGACACAAGAAGCATCATGTCATCACCATTCTTGCAGTCGGGGAAGGTTGGATCTTTTCTTTGGGAAGCCGCCCCGTGACTGTCCACACTTTCACAATCCACAAAAAGGATCCGACGGTCCAACAGCGATGAGAGTTACGAGGATCGCGACCGCGAGCCCCACGATCCCGTGACTGTTGCCACTTTTCCAATTCCAAGAGGGCCTGAGGGTCCAGAAGACACGTCAGATTATAGATATATTTTTTGATAGGTCACGCATTCACACTCTATCTGATGGGTGTTTTCTTTTACCTGCGGTACTCTGTTCATTTTTCGTTCCTGTTGTGCTACCGCTTGCGTGTTGCTTTCAAGCAAGGCAGAGCTTTGTGTACAGGTCTCTCTGAAAACTTGTTGGCCACTACAAATGGTCTCTTACAGGTCGAGGAACCGCAGAATTTGCTCACATGGGGCCATGTGAATGTACATGCAGTCCATTCTTCGCATCCTCTGTCCAAACTGCTGGAAGAAATGAAGCAACCTTCACCACCTGCGAAAGCTTTGTAGAATGCGCCTTCACTCATAATCAGCTGCTCTCCGTGGTCTTCTTGTCTGATCCTCACAGATTGTTCAGACTTGTGCTGATCTACTGGTCCCGCACAGGAGGGCTCTTGTTTTTTGCAAGCTTCCAAACGAGAAATGAAAACCAGGCCACAGATGTCTGATGCGCAGGGTCTCATGCCATGCCATAGCAGCAATAGGGCTGGTCGGCATCTCGGGTCTCAGCCAATGTTTGCATGGAGAAGCTACTTTGCATCATAAGCATATGCACAGGCTTTGTGCAACATCAGGGCAGACTCGTAAGCTCTCTGAGAGGACGACAAGAAACAGTTCACTTACGACTCGGAGGGCAACGTCATTATGGCTCCTCGCCAGAACGCCTTGCTGCCGGCAGCACATTGCTGGCTGTGTGTCGAGTTGCAGCGCCAAGAAGCATGCTTGCAACGTAGGTCCAACCTCCACAAGTCAATCGCTTGCCGAATCCAACTCCTGCCATGACCTTTGTGTGCAAGGACAAACACTGTGCAGCGGTAGTCTCTACCCAAGTCTGCATTGCGGTACCTGCTGGAGGAGGATGTGTCTCAAGAGCATCGTACGCAAGCAGATAAAAAGATTCCTCGTGTCCGTGGCATGCTGAGAATCTTGTGCTAGATGATTCTTGATATGGCAAGTGGCGGCTGACATTAGTGCTGGCTGGTGGTAGCTGAATGGAGGTGACAAGCATGTGAAGGGCAAAAGGTGCCAGACGTAGGATTTTTTGTCTTTGTGGAGATCAACATGCTTGCCAGATCTTGGCAGCAGGAAGGAGTCGGTGGAATTCAAGGACGGATTCAAGAAGTTCCTGTCCCAGCAGCCCTCCATGATGGAGGCAAAAGTGTGTCAAGATTTGCCGTAGCCGGAGGGCAACCAGCAAAGGTACTCCAATTCCAAGTTACCTTCCGTAGACGATCTCCGAGCAAATCACCAGGATGGAATTGCAGTAACGGACCCTTAGTTAGGGAGATGCGCGCCTGAGCTAGAAGTGGAGATGGCCTTTGTTCTGTTCAGGCACGTGCCTGCACCTTCCGACAGCTTTGCAGGCAATGGCGATGTCACCTGGGGTGGAATTGGAAGAACGAAGCAAGACTAAGCGTGGTGAAAAGGCCATCGCTGCATGTCTCCGCAATGTGTTGGTTTTTTCCCTCGAGAGTACATGCTGTGAAAGGTAAAGATTGAAAAAGGAACAATGTCCCGGAAAGAGTACGAGGCCAACGCGGTGGCCTGGAAGTGTTTCTAGTTCTACCTCATCTCGTTCACAGGAAGTAGCCCGAGGAGGAGCCATGCCCAGCAAAGCCAGCCGATCTCACAGATCAGATGCTGTTAGACACGCAGCGCTAAATCCGAAAAGGCTCTGATGAACAGTGAACAGCTGCGCGTCAGTTCAGCCCTAAGGCATGAAGCCCGCAAAGACTCCGCCACCGGTCCCATCTGCGTTGGATTCGACAGCTACCCAGCGTCTGCTGTGCTTTGTGCTTCCCCTTTGCCCTGGCTGTGCACATGATGCAAGATGCAAGGAAGCCTGGCTCGGATGGCATAGCTCCTCCCCTCCCAGACCAGGCAACAGCCGTGAGATCACATAATTGATCACCATGAGCATAGCTTTCACAAGGTTGCCGAGCGACAGCAGGAGAGTTTGCTCCATAGACTTTTGCAGTTATTGCTGCCAGCTGTGCACTATTGCCATGATTTCTCTCTTGCTAGGTGCCGAGCCTACAAGAATCGCGCGGTCGGAAGCTGGATCTGATTTGGTGCCTGAAAAGCATTTAATGCACTCAGAAAAGCACTTCGCACAGCAGTGTTGTCAGGAATCGTCATCATATTGACTGCGATGGCCTCCTGCTGAGGTAAAAGCCCCCAAGGCGCCCCGACCCTTGCAGCCATCGCGAGAATCTGAGAAATCAGGGCTCGCTTTTGCACTGCTGGAAGCAGAAGTGCTCGACTAGGCCTCCGTCATCAAGCGCTCGAGCGAGGGCCTGAGAAGCTCTACTGCCATTGCAGGGCTGCAGTTGGTAATGATGGGCTGTAATGACGAGTCAGTCTTAGAGACGGCCTCTAACATGATCACAAAACGCAGTCATCATCTTTGGATGATAGTTTGAGCGGCAAGATGGCAGTTGTGGCGGTGATGGATGAAGTCGCTGTGAAAGGGGTGTGGAAGTGCTTATGCTTGTGGCGGTGTTGCAATTGGCATGATTGTTGTTGCTGCTGTTCATGCAGTTCTTTATGCTGTTGTCATCGTGGTCATGGTGCTTTAGTGCTGGTGCTGGACGCGCGCCGGCGGGGGCGGCTTGTTTATCGGTGACGCTGTTGGCTGTTAACGCTGCTGTCGTTGCTGTTTGCCGATGCTGTTTCTTTGGCTCTTGTGTTCTTTGGCCCTCATCAGAACGAATGGCGAGCGGAGGTCTGGGGACAGCACCAGAAATGGTGGGTGGGCGAGCGGGGCACTAGCGCCGTTCAGGGACAGCGATGGATGGAGAAAGACGTGGGGGGGGTGGGGGGTGAGCCAGGAACCAGGGACAGCGTGCGCTTCTGGGGAGCGATCTCCTTTGACAAGCGAGCGGCGGACAAGGGACAAGAGGTTGGGGCAGCTTTATCGCCAACGGCCTCAGCTGCGGCCCTGCTGTGCTGCAGTCCTTGTTTTCCAATGTTTTTGATGTGTTGTTTGTGTTGATGATGGCGACGATGTGAGTTTGATGGTCGTGATGTTGTGGTAGTAGTTCGTTGTCGGTGCTTCTGGTCATGATGTTTCCTTCTTGTGGTGATGCTGGCATTGTGAGTGTCCTCGTTGGTGACGCTAGCAGTGCTGCTGCTGCTGCTGCTGCTGAGCACTACTAGCTCCCGCCTAGGACGTAGTTGCTGTGTAGGAACACAACAGCAGAAAGCTGCTGGAGCCTCAGCAGAGTGCTCCTTCAAACCTTTTGGGCCCCTCAACCTCTGCTTAGTCGTAGCCAGTCTTCATGGCGCTCGCTGACATTGAAGACAGCCACTGAGAGAAGGCGCGGCAACAATTTTCCTCGAAGTTCCTGCGCAGAGCATAGCTGGCACAGTCTCAGAGTCGCTTCGGTGGCGAAACAGTGGACGGTCAGTTTGAATTCATGATGGGAGAGGAATCCTTTTAAAAGACGTGCGTGCAATCAAGCAAGTTCGCAGAATCAGGCAGTAGACGCGGTGGACCACAAGCGTGGCAGGATTACTCCCCAAGACGCTAGAACTGGATGTCTCAGAGCCAACTTGCCCAAGGCAGGGCTGAGACTGGCTATCAATCCAGCCGAAACAGCCGGAAGCAGCAGGACAGGCGCAGTTTGCATCCTCCTCAGGAGCCATTGCGGCCAACTCTCCTGTTGCACGAATGCGAAGTCATCGCCCGTCTACAGCGGAGAGGTGGACGCCTGCGCAAGCTGCTCAGACCCCTATCATGGAATGTTGGAGGTATGAGGGCCAAGCTATGGTCAGAATTCTTGGCATGCATTCAGACAGACAGCTGCAGATATGATGTAAACATGCTTCAGGAGACGCACTGGTCTGGCTGCTCACACTTCACGAAGCATGATTGGTCGGCTATTACTTCATGCTCGGAACAGTCGACCTGCACAGCAGGACAAATGCTTTTGCCATCGCTTGCCGTATTGCAGAAATCAATGCGATGGAGCTCAAGAGAAAGGAGCGGGTCAAAACCAAAGGCTTGTAACAGCGCCGGGGCCCACACACGCGACATACCAGGTACGTAACAGGTGCGCGCCTGGCGCGACAAGCC